CCGTTGACAGAGAAATAAGCCAGAAGAATTCCGGGCAACCTCGATACCCAGAAAATACTTAAGCAACCCAAGATCCTTCATGTGAAAACAATGACTCAGGTAACTCTTGAAGGCCGCAATGGATGTGGTATCATTCCTGGAAACAATCAGATCATCAACATAGACCAGGACCTGCAGATGGACAGAACCACGATGCAGTGTAAAAAGAGAGTAGTCATGATAGGACTGACAAAAACCATACTACTTCAAAGCCGTAGACAACTTGGCAAACCAGCAGCGGGGAGCCTGCTTCAAGCCATAGAGGGAACGACGAAGACGGCAAACCTGCCAATCAACGCCAGAACGAAAACCAGGGGGAAACTTCATGTAAACCTCCTCAGCTAAATCACCATGAAGAAAAAAAGCATTGTGAACATCCATCTGGTGAACTTCCTAATGCTTAGCAGCAGCCACAACTAAGAATAACCGGACTGTAACCATTTTGGCGACGGGAGCAAACGTCTCATGATAGTCAAGACCTTCCACCTGATTATTGTCCAAAATCACCAGACGCGCTTTATAGCGCTCAACAGAACCGTCGGACTTATGCTTGATCTTAAAGACCCACTTGCACCCAATCGCACGCTTTTCAGATGGAAGATAAACTACATCCCACGTGCCATTATTCTCCAAGGCACGAATCTCATACTGCATAGCGGCTCGCCAGCGAGGATCGGTCACAGCCTCCGCAAAAGTGCGAGGTTCAGCAGCAGAGGTGACAGCAGCAAAAAAACATTGATGAGCTGGAGAGAATGGCTCACAAGAAACGTAATGTGCTATGGGATAAGGGGTACTGGAGGATGAAGACACCAGGGAGAAGTAGTGGGAGGTACAGTCGAGGGTCGGACAGTGTCAACCACAAAATCCTTCAGTCGAGTGGAAGGAACCTTAGACCGATGACCACGACCCAAGGGCTCCACCGGAAGAGTGGGAGGGGTAGTGATAACAGAAACCCCCCGATCGTCAGAGGTGTCCATATCAATAGAAGAAGACCCAGTATCAGGAGAAACATGAGGCAAAGAGACAACCGGAAGATTCTCATCCTCATCTGACGCAGAAGAAACCGGCACAACAAGAGGCGGTGACAAAGAATTTGGCTGAGACGAGTCTGATCGATAGGGGAATTCAGTCTCAAGAAACTCCACACCACGAGAGACAAAGAAAATCTGACGATCCAAATCATACAAACTCCACCCCTTTTTTCCAAAAGAGTAACCAACAAATAGACAACAACGACTCTGAGCAGCAAACTTATCACCATTACGATCTTGGTTATGAGCATAGCAAAGGCAACCAAAAACCCGTAAATGAGACAAGGAAGGAGTAGAACCATAAAGAATCTCATATGGTGTTTTACCATGTAAAACCGAGGAAGGAGTCCGATTTATCAGATAGACTGCAGTCAAAACACAATGACCCCAAAAAGGAAGAGGTAGATGAGCCTGGAAACGCAAAGCACGAGCTACATTGAGAATATGCTGATGTTTACGTTCCACACGCCCATTCTGCTGAGGGGTGTCTACGCAAGAAGTCTCATGCAAAATCCCTTGACGACGAAAATAAGAGGCCAAACACATGAACTCGCTTCCATTATCACTATGAACAACACGCACTGATTTATCAAATTGTCGCTTAATCATAGCAAAAAAATTCAGCAATGTGGAAGCAACCTCCGTCTTATCATTCAATAAATGAACCCATGTTCCACGAGAACAATCATCCACAATAGTAAAAAAATATCGTGCACCACAAAAAGACGGAACACGATACGGACCCCACAAATCACAATGAATTAAATGAAAAGTCTCATGACTAACAGTCTGACTGATAGGAAAACTACGACGATGTTGTTTAGAACGAAAACAAGCATCACACGATTTATGCAAAGTACGAGAACTAGAGTCAATAACAGGAACCTGGGATAATACTTGAGCAGAAGGATGACCCAAACGTTGATGCCACACATCGACAGAAACTTTCCGAACACAAGAAACTGCCGTAGAAACAGTCCCTCGAAAGAAGTAGAGACCACCCAATTGGTCACCCGCGCCAATCACCTTCCGCGAAGAGCGGTCCTGAATAACACAGAATTTGCTAGTAAACTGAGCAGTGCAGTCGGAACGATCCAACAATTGATATAGTGAAATTAAGCTGCACCGAAGGCTTGATAGCCATAGTCAAGGAACCATTAGTCAAGGAACCATTAGGCAATTGAACAGGACGGGCGGGAATATCTCGAACATCAGAAATAAACTCCAGGAACCCTGTCATATGATGAGTTGCCCCACAATCGTACATCCAATCAAATAAACCACTCGTACCAGACAATGGAATATTTTGTTTAGCGGAATTAACCAAAAACACAAAGTGAGTCCATTGTTCATTGGTTAAACCACCAAGTGCAAGACGATTAGAATCTCAAAACTGCAGTAGCTGTAGAAGAGCCAACATAACCGGCAACATACGAATCACCAATACCACTGGAGAACGCCGCATTCGTACGAGTACCACTCTTGTCGCGAGCTCCACTACAGCGGCCACCACTGGTGTCAGAATCAGATGTCGCAAACACAACCATGACAAATCAATATTTGAAATAAACAGGCAGCAGCCTTGATTTTTTTTTTTTAAAGATCAAAACTCAAATAGCTACACAATCCGATGTTGAAGTCCGCCGAGAGATCAAATGGGAACACAAAAGCTGGCCGCAATTTTGGACTTTTCCGTTCTTTTTTTTTTCTTTAAATAAACACGCGATTCTTGAATTGAGGCCTTGATGAGAAAACCAAATCACAATCACAATGGAATTGAGCAGCGGCCTTGAAGCTTGAACAATTTTTTTTTTAATGGAATATGCGGACTGATAGCAACTTGCTCCCTTCACAAATAATATCAATCTGAATGGATAGAAGCGATCAAATTCGACGAGAAAAATTTGTGATCCGAAAAAAAATTAGGCTCTGATGCCATGATATGAAAGAGATGAGACGAATATTATACTGTAGATCATCTCAATCCGGATGATACAACTCTCCATAAATCAAGAATGAGGCACCCTTGACATTAGGTCAAGGGTTCGAGCTTCCCGGAGCGCAATGGTGGAACAATTAATACTGAGGACTAGAAGCGGCAGTGTGAGAGGCTGAAACTCGGTGGGAACCAGCGGCTGGATAGCTAGGGCCAGCATGAAGTTGGGGGGCCACGAGCGATCACTTCGGTGGGAACCAGCGGCTGGATAGGTGGGGCCAACTTGGAGCTCAGAGGGCCAGCGAGCGATCACTTGGGGATCGACTCTTTGTGCGCGGTAGTTGAGGGTATTAAGTACTTGGAAGCCATTATGTGGCTACCGCGGTTTAATTGGAGGCAGTGTCTGAGGGGCCGAAGCTGTTTCCTCGAGTATTAGTCAGGCACAAGCCTCGAACCTAGCAAAGAATATATACACAAAATTAGGGGTCCCAACAACCTAAGGCTAATAAAATAAATACACAAATATACACAATCACATTGCAGGCAAATATTAAAAGAATCTTCAAAAACAATGCACGATACATTTATTTCAAGTTTCATATTATACTGTGACTCCATTTCCATATACTGCATGTGTATATGTAGGTTGCGCCCTGTAAAAGCAAACCCCTCAATTTTATGGAACAATTTATTACACTAAGAAACATCAAATCCCATCATCAGACCAACGGAAACTGACAGTACCAAAAAATCAAACAAAGTTTTATATTTCAAGCCGTCATCTTTTCTCTAATAAACCAGCTAACAAAATGGAATAAATATGCATCAGACCAATTGAAACTGACAGTATCAATAAAGCCAACAAAGTTTTATATTTCAAGACATCATCTATTATTCAATAAACACCTTTTCAATTTTCCAAGAACACGCTACTACCAATTTTGTGAAACAATTTATTACACAAAGAAACATCAAATCTCATCATCACAAAAATGAAAACTGACAGTATCAATAAAGCCAACAAAGTTTTATATTTCCAGCATCATCTTTTCTCTAATAAACTAGACTAACAAAAGGGGATAACCTTTTAAATTTTCCAAGAAGACGCTCCAACTACCATCCTTGTTAGTCGCTACATCTGTAATGATCTCTTTAGTGAAGCTCGAAGTATGCCCAAGCATAATTTTCATGTACTCGTCTAGATGCTAGCAATGTTTTTTAATTAAGATCGAAGTATGCCCAAGCACATGATGCATTTTAATCGTTGATGGACCGCCTAACAATGACGTAGTTTGAACACTAATACTTATCGAACAAAATTATGTACATTATCAAGAAGAATATCATTATTTAAAACTTTTACATGGTTGGAATTCTGTTCATCTTCTGTTCTAGTTCTCAGTTAGCTATTAGTGATTGTAGATTTAGCTGCTTCTTTGTAGTTTGCTGTTTTAGTTCTCAGTTTTGCTTGCTTTTGAGGTGTTGAGTTTGTGAGTCTTCTGTTCTATGTTAGCTATTAGTGGTTGTAAATTTAGCTGCTTCTGTGTAGTATGTTGTTTTAATTCTTAGATTTGCTTGCTTTTGAGGTGTTGGGTTTGTGAGTAAGTGAAAGTTTTTCTAAATCAGTGGTTAGTTACTCTTTTATTTTATTTTTTTTGCTTCTTGTAGCGACGGGGATGATTATCATACTGCCGATTTCAGTGCTTTTGTCACCAAAGGCAAGATTTCTCATCCTTCTTTTGTTTTTCTTCCTTATGCATTAGGACACTTTGTTTTAGTGCTCCTAGTTTATCTCTTGATAGCACTGTCAGGCAACTTAGCCTCCGGAATGTAATCCTTGTTTTTCTCGTGTAGTAATAGTATCTATCGTTTCAAAAGAAAAAAAAAAAAAAAAAAAGAAAAAAAAAAAAACTTGTGATAAACATATTATTATGAAGTTCAGCTGTCAAAAAAACCACTCCGGCCGGGTCCTATAATCCCAACGGATTTACTTAAGTCTGATGATTCACAAACGTAAGAAGGTACAAAGCATTTGCAAAAATTAGTTATACTAAAGTATATTTCCAATAATCTCCCATAAACAACAATGTCAATCAATAAAAGCATTAACACAACAAAACAGCCTTGCAAGCACACACTTATACGTCCTAAGTTCCGATAAAACAATTCTTTCCGAGGTAGCTAATAATTCATGTTTAGGCAAGTTCCCGATAAATAATGCATCCAGATCCAGACGCCATATTAAGTTGAAATCTGAAACTGTAAGTAGAAATGAAAATCAAGGGGATACACATCAATCAAACCCCAACAAAAATTAGCACGACCCAAAAATCTAAACACCACCGGAAGCCACTCAGATATCTTTCCAAGAGTCGCGAGCCACAGTTGTCGCATTCCCCCCTGCTCAGACCAAAATTAACAGTATCAGTAAATCATCTTCAAACTGTAGTAAGCAGGAAACTAACTATAAATCCTAACCTCAATGACAAACTGCACCTCTAAGGTTGAAAAGGCTGATTATTTGGGTCAACAGACGGAACCTGCTCAGCTGACTCAGCCCCCGAGACTCCACCATTCCCTCTGCCTGCACCTACACCTACAGGGACACTCACTTCCGCATTCGGATCCATTACGTCGAATTTCGATACACGCGGCCTTCTCTCATACCTCTCATAACTCCTGCTTCTGCTCCTACTTCTCGGGCTCCGGCTCCTACTTCTACTTCTCGACCAGCTCCTGCTTCTACTTCTCGACCAGCTCCTGCTCCTGCTTCGGCTCCGGCTATAACTACGACTCCGACTCCGGCTATAGCCACCCCACGTCCTCACTCTCTCGGGGCTCGAGCTGTAGCTTCTGCCCCTACTCCTATCCGCGCCATCCCTCCTCCCGTCAAACCGATCCCTACCCCGTCCCCTGCCGCGGCCCCGCGTGTCCATACTGTTGAACCTCTCCTGCGGGCCCACACGACCTCCCCTGTCCCAGCCACCACGGCCCCCGTCTCTCATCCCTCCACGGCCGCCAAAGCCACCGTCTCTTCCGCCCCTACGGCCGCCGGAATCCCATCGGCCACCACCTCCGCGCCCCCCAAAGCCGCCCGAGTCGTAACGGTTCACGGGGCCACGGTCCCGAGAGAAGGTGGGCCCACCGCGCATGGCTATGTCCCTTACCTCGGGAGGCACGGCTTGATTGGCGCCCTCGAGGAGCTTGACGAGATCGGGAGCGTGCTTCCAGTCCTGCTCAGAGAAAAACGTGTGAGCAATCCCAGTGGCGCCAGCTCGCCCGGTTCTCCCGATGCGATGAACGTAGTCCTCGATTCCGGTGGGGAAATCGTAATTGATAACTACCCTGTTCAAAAAATAAAAAACGTAAAAATTAATTCCGAGTAGGAGAAATAACAAGGAGTAATAACTAATAAATGTTAAAATTGTGAAAACCTTATATCTCTGATATCCAGGCCCCGAGCAGCAACATCGGTGGCAACCAGGACAGGGGACTTGCCACTACGAAACTGGTTCAGAACCCAGTCTCTCTCACCCTGAGATTTGTCTCCGTGAATTGCAGCGGCCCCAAAGTTACGCCCCAGATTGCGTGCAAGATGGTCGCACAACTTTTTGGTGGAACAAAATATAATGATTTTTGAACCACGCTCTTGAGATCTTAGAATTTGTTCCAGGCGTCTCTGTTTGTCGAACTCAGGAACTACTTCCACGTACTGCACAGGAGGGCCGCGCATTTGTAAATGGAAATGTATATAATACAAAGCAAAGGGAATTTCAAGAAAAAATTAGCATCCACAATCATCAGTCATCACATACAAAACCTAGCTATTTGTGAACAAAGGTAGATCATGGCTGAAGCATATTAGTTTCTATAAGCAAGCCTACTGTTATGTGTAGATTTGCTACTCTCCTGAAACCTTTAACAAAAAAAAAAGATCATTAACTTTCCAGTCAGAATGCAACCTAACCACCCTAGTGATCACTAACAGAGGTGAAAGAATCACTACAGAAATAAGATGCAATACCCACTTAGGTAAAATCACACATCTACTCAATTGCAAAAAAAAAAAATGTAAATGACACAGCAGTTGAAGCAGCAAAATCGTTTACAAATCAAGTTATTGCACAACAATTCAGATGTCCATATATGAGTCAAACTTCATAAAATGAAAGACAAAATGTCAGAAATTACCTGTGTAATAGACTTGTTTGCAGCAAGTTCATCAACACTGCCAATGTTGACTTGGACCGGATTGACCAGAAGATCGCCTGCTATTTTACGAACTTCTTTGGGCCAAGTAGCCGTGTACATAAGAGTTTGCCTTCTTGGAGGAATTTCATTGACAATCTTACGTATCTGAGGCTCAAACCCCATGTCCAGCATTCTATCAGCCTCATCAAGAACAAGAAAGGAGACTTGCCTAAAGTCAATCCTCTTCATTTCAAGGATGTCATTCAGCCGGCCAGGAGTTGCCACAACAATATCGGCTCCTCTATCGAGTTCCTTCAACTGAGGTCCTTTTGGGGCACCACCATACAGACACTGAGAAGGAAACAGTCGAGCACTTCTCAACCAAATTAGAAAGAATATATAAACAGTTTGATAGTAATGTGCCATACCGTGCAACTGACTCTAGATGATCGACCAAATTTAATAGCTTCATCCTGGATTTGGGTCGCAAGCTCCCTGGTTGGGGACAATACTAATACTGTTGGGCCATTCTGAGGATTATTACGTCGTCGCCTCAGGTGAATAAATGCTGGCATCAAATATCCCAGCGTTTTCCCAGAGCCTGTCTTGGCAATAGCAACTATGTCCCTATTCTGTAAAGCAATGGGCCACGTCTGTGCCTGAATTGGTGTGGGTGCAGAGAAACCAGCAAAATGTAACTGCACAAAAATGTAAGTAAATATAAGAAAATGTCTGTTCATTTACAAACCTTAAAAGTCCACATGCAACTCTAGTGAACAGTGCTGAGGCTATACCCTAGACGATACAATATTCGAAAAGGAAAAAAGGAAACTGATAGTAGAAAAGGGGAAACTGAATGCTTAAAAAATCAGGTATGTGGTTGCTTACTGAAGCAACTTGACGCAAAAAACGGTGCTAATAAAAGAGAGGAAGCAGAGCCAATAAGCTAGAAATCCCAGTCACATAATAGTGTGAATTGGATGTAGCACCCTTCAAGAAGTAGTGCTATATACGTAGGCTCCAACAGTCCATTTTGCAACCTAAAATAACTCTGAATGGTTGTTGAATAGATATGAGCATGGCACTGCAGTGTACGACATGTGCTCCTCTTTTGGAGCAGATATCGCACCTGCGACAAGTTAAAACTGATAAGCTAACAGTGTGGCTTTGGTGATTCAAACATAAAAGTATGATAACAAGTTTCATCATGGAATTTCTACGAACAAAGATGAAATTTACTTCTCATTGAAGTACTTACCTCTTGCAGAATTTCGGGTGGAAACCCAGTAGCTTCAAATGTCATAAACGGAGCAGGAACATCGTCACCCTAAATAAGTCAAATCAAGTATCTTAAAAATACAAGCTTGCACACAAGTGAATAGATGAAATCATATAAAGAAGTAGGAATATGTGCTGCAAAAGCCAAAGCATCTCCGAGAAGCAGAATTCATATATTATATTCATCCCACACGTCCCCAGTGTCAGTATCAGCATGTGAATTAATAATCTATAGCCATGAACAGTATGTTACCGTCATGTAACTATCACATCATTCCCCAACATTGGAGAAAAATGCAAAAAATTTTAAGCAATTTATGATAACATCTCTAGAGACAGCCTACATATAGCAGATTTTCCAAGCTCAAACATTTATCTGAAGCACATCAAATCCATGAGTGAGTATTTACAAATCCTCCCAGCTAAAGAGAAATTATTTGACATGATGAAGCACACTTATTTATGAAGCAATAACTTGCACAACATTTAGTTACAACGAAGCAGTAAAAATGTAAGAATCAATGTGGAGGAATGTTTCTACTTCCACAGCAATCCATACAAATGATGAACTACAAACCGTGGCTGTCACTTCGTGCTTTTGGCGATAAATTTCTGCAGCTGATAGATGCATAGGATCCGAAGGTCCCATCATTGATAATGGAGGCCTCACAAAAGTATTGTTCGGATAAGTAGGGGCACCAGAGGAATGACCATGAACAACACCAGGCAATGCAGGCCCTCCAGGACCACTAAATCTGCCTGGAAGACTATGGGGGGGATTTTGTGAGGGGAAATCACCCATTCTCGCTTCCTGATAAGATGAAGAAACAGCACCAATAAATGTTCAAGTAAGTACCTCTGCATCCATATGAACACTAAAAAATTTAACATATCGAAGAATGCATATTGCATACAGATTCTTCTGTGTGTATGTGTGTGTGGCAGACACTGATGAATATTCAAGTACAATATACTTCTGTGGTCAAACTCTTTTAAGAAGCCACTATAATGCATTCATAGAACAAATTTACCTGTTGTTGATTTCTAGCTGAAGGTGGTAGGGGTGAGAGCTTAGGTAGCTGAGGAGACATTGCATTGACATCCTTGGCGGTATTGTAAATATATTCATTTCCAGGTCTTCCAGGATGGTTTTCTTCATAAGGCATCTTTGATCCAGGATGTGGAAGATTCTGCTGCTGGCCATGCATCATCCCAGGGCCCATTTGATTTTGAAACCTAGAACCATTGTGCGGGTGTGTTGGTTCTGCACCCATTTGGGGCATATGAATAGATGGGTTATTCCGTTGCATATTAGGACGTGGTCCACCGTATTCCACAGATTGATTTAGTTGAATGCTCATCTTATGTCCATGAGATGAATTGACTCCTGAGGACATGTTCTGCAGTGGTGGCATCCCAGTATTCTGAATCTGAGCAGGTGAAAACCCAGCCTGGTTTACTTGCTGAAACTCAACATCATCTCTCTGAGGGTTACCGGTTTTCTGATCCCGCGTGTGAGGATATTGCTGCCCCTGCATAAAAGTTTGATTGGCTTGCGCAAACCCTGGTTGCTTTGCTTGATGAAAATCATTACTGTCTATCTGACCATGCTCCGCTTTATGCTCTTGGTGAGGCAATTGTTGTGAGGAGCTCTGTGGCCCTTGTGGAGGCATGTTCCGTTGATGAACCGTGTATTGTGTAGGCTGATGGGTAAATTGAAAACCATGTGGAGGTCCCATCTGTGCACCAGGGTACATTTGTCCTTGCTGAAGATGAGGCATCGACTGCATCAGTTGATAAGGAGCTTGCTGCTGACCAGGCTGCATAGGCTGTGTAAACCCCTGTTGCACGGGCTGCATAGGCGCATGCTGACCAGGCTGTTGCATCATCTGCGACTGTGCTTGGACAGGTGGAGCCACTTGAGTGGCCTGCGTGTGCTGTTGAAAGGATGAGCTCGTAAGCTGCCCTTGCGTGAACTGAGTTTGTACCGTCTGCTGATTCTGAGGTGTCTGAATATTGTCTGGTTGTGATGATCTCGTTGCAGGTAAGGGATTCATCTTAGGTGTGGGAGTTGCAGGTGGAGGCCTGGATGGCAAGGGTGGAGGTTTTTCATACTGAGTAGCATTTGTTTCGGGATTCCAGTAATACTTCACACCTGTATTTCCATCAATTAAACCTTTCCAAGGTTCGGGTAGAGTTGGATCATCCGGAGCATATCTGGGACCAAGCGTACCAGGGGGTGCCTCGGCAGTGGCCATTCCTGCTAAACACACTAAAGAATTCAAATTTAGCGTGAAGTACAAGGGGATATCACAATTGAATTCGTCAAACCATCGAAAGCAGACTCTATGAGCCCAATATTGTATATTGCTAGAAGAAATATATACATGCACAGACAGTAAAGATGAATAAAATAACTTCAACTGAATCACCAATTTGTACTATTAACATCTGCCAATTTTTTCAGTTTTGCAATATCTACAATAAGGCTCAGTCATGAAATCAGATTTTCCACCAAAATTCATAAGTAACAATGTTTGGAAAAAAATTCAATCACAAATCAATCCAATTTCCCGTCGCTTATTCCACACCATTGGCAGCATCAGAAGCACATTTCGAAAGCTAATCTACGGTCTAACAAACTCATCGGTGAAAATCATGCACCAGGTTTTTTTTCCCCTAAAATTCAGATGCAGTCTTGACTGCAGATATCGTCATGAGAAAAAAAAACTTAGAAATTCAATTACGCTAAGTTGATTTAAAGCAGATTACTATCTTTACGTTGCAAGCCGATTGGATAATGCACTAAAATCATAAGTTTTCCACCGTTCAAATAATCACAACGAAAATAAACTGCCATTACAGGAATCAATTCTATTGAATATTAGTGCAAAACCGCTCACCCTGGTTGTACGATCAAGGGTTTCGAAAGAGGTCGAAACCCTCTTCAGCTATCGATCTGCGGATAGAAAAAAGATGGATGAGATTCTGAGGAAAAGGAATTGGAGATATGAGAGGCTTTTTGTGCTCAGTGGTTAGGGTTTAGAATGGTACAGTATTGGTTCTTTTGGTTGTCCGCGGCGTCACTTGTGAAACCTCAATGAGCCCAAATACTCCCAAGTCCCACCACAATCCCATACACCCCACTTTAGCGGGTGTGTATTCAATTTCTATTAACTTTTTAAGGCCTTGTTTGGTAATGGGAGTTAGCTGTTAGCTTAGTGGATTGTATTAGCTGCTTTGACCAGTGAATTGTATTAGCTGCTTTGACCAGCTTATTGTGTTAGAGGTTTGTAAAAGAGTGTTTGGTAAAATTTGCTATTTTAATTAGTTGTTAACATGTAAAATTACTTATAAGGACATATGTTAAATTTATAATTAGTTAAGAAATAAAAATAAATAATACTTAAAATAATTATTAAAGTGATTTAAAATACAATAAAAATATAAATAATAATAAAAATATTTATTAATCGAGTAAATAAGTTCACATCATATAAACACAACCGTGTAATTATTACAAAAATATGCTAGTTTCAATTGTTAAGCAAAAAGCTACTAATTATTAAAAAAATATGCTAGTTTCAATAGTTAAGCAAAATATGTTAATAATTATTTCGCGAAGTGGCAATAGTTAAGCAAAAAGATTAAATGAAAACGCTACTAATCTTAGCGTTTCAATATTTGGCGTTTTGAGCCCATCCGCTAGTTTTAAAAGGTGACTTACCAAACATCAAGAAGACCAAGTTTAGCTTTTCCCAATATGGTCAAAACCGCTAAAATAGCTTTTTGGCTAAAAAGCTGAAAAACAAACAAGACATAAGTCTTTAAATCTTGTTGTATTCAATTTAGATTTGTTAAAATTTTTTAAAACTTCTAAAAGTTACGGGGTATTCAATTGTGATTTTAAAAAGTCTTACAAAAATTTGAGGTATTTAATTTATTTGACACTATGATTTGTTAAGACTTTTAAGATTTGGTGTGATTTCTAAACAAAAAACTTTATACAAAATACTACTTCAAATCCTACCCCTAAACTTAAGATTTCACATAATTTCTCTAAAATCTTAAAAAGTCTTAAAATATCACTTAAAATCCGAATTGAATACACCCCTTAAAATAATATGGTGCATAGGTGCTTTCTTAAAAAGAGAAGTTTTATTTTAAACTTCAAATATATTTTTTTAAAATAGTTTAATTAGTATATATCTATATGTATTTATATCTATATCTATTTATATCTATATATATAAAAAGATTTGTATTTAATAAATAGTAAGGATT